AAAGGAAAAAAAGGAGTATTTGCATAGCATGCAAAGGAGGACATAGGTATGAAAACTCTCTTGCATAATAAGAGCAGCTGTGTGGCATTTCCATAATTAAACAAACAAACATGTGGGCTGAAATCACACACACATTTCCCTCCGGCAGAAAACATAATCCAAATAACAGAAAAAAGAAATTAGAATTATACATGTGTTATATTTTGAGTGATGCAACAATTATATTAGTAATTACTCTAAAGAATTAGGTATTTTTTCTGAGTGACAGTTAATTTTCTTATTGTCCTCCTATCCCTCACATACCTGAGCCTCCTAAGAGAAAAGAAAACCAAATTGAATAGCTAAATTTATAGTGTGCTATTTTTAAGATTTCCTAAATACAGATACCTTTTACAAAGGAAATAAAAAGCATGTATTTAAAAGTATTTTCTATGATATAATGATACACACGCACATAAGAGAAAAATAGTAATGAGACTATACAATGCTCCAAGGAGATACTACTTATTTCTTTATAATCTGGCAATTGTCTGTTAAAGGATTTCTTTAAGGGCAACCTTCACCCACGGAAGGGATACAGTTACTAAAAAGAAAATACTGTTTAAGTTGTTTCAATGTGTAAGAATGGATGGTTGCAGGAGCATCAGAAGATGCAAAACACACATCCAGAGCGAAGATGCAAGAAATTGCCACAAGAAAATTCAAGCGTGAGTTTCTACAGCGTTGTATGTTAAACTAACCCCCAGTTCACTTGGAGAGAGGGAGAACAAACGGGCATCAGGAATCAAATGTCTCTCTCCTGCTCTTAGGAATTACAACAGCTATCCCTCTGCCAAACTGCTTGCAGAGCCATGGTAAATGGATAAAAAAGTTACAATTTTGCACCTAACTTTTCATGGTTTTACATGTTTTCTGCACAGCCATGGTAAATGGATAAAAAGTTGCACTTCTGCACCTAACTTTTTATGATTTCACATGTTTTCTGATGTACTTCAGAACCATTCTCTCATCTGTCAGTCCCATAGCCTTTCTTCCATGAAAACTGGAGACAGCTTTCGAACATATGCCTTCTCTCTGGGACGAGCCTCAGGGAAGAGGCCCACATTGTCCCGCCAAACGGCAGGCAGCAGGCTGCGGTTAGGGCGAGCAAGGGGTGAGCAGAGCGGGAGCCGCGGGCACTCTCCCAGCAGCAGGACGCTGGTCAGCCCTGACTCGGTGCAGTCAGGCACAGGCCTCGGGCACAAGCCACCTCCGGCGCCCAGAGCACGCCAAGACCTCAGACCACTTTGTCTCCACACTGAGTTTAGTTACTTCCAGTTAAAAACTTTTTGCTGCGGTTCCTTCGCCAAGTAAAACAGCGAAGGCGGCGGCGGGCGCCCTGCCGGGTCAGCAGAAGCGGCCGCTGCCCGCG